CAGACTGGCTGGAAAAAAAACCTTTACTGTTTTTTCTTTTTCTCATCACTTTGAAACTATATTTGTTATTTTCTCAAGTTATTTTCTTCTTATTTTGAATTTCGTCTGATTATCAAAAACATTAAAATCTGACACCAGTAAAAAAGAAATAATGTGTTATTACTACACTGTGCAGCCTTCTATATCCATTTTAGAAATATCTAAAAATCTGTTCTCAGAATCTGTTTCATGTTTATTTAGTAAATAATCATATAGTGATGATAGTCTAGAGGTCCTTAAAGACATCATATAAAGACATCAGGAGCTTTAACTACTGCAGGAAGGTCTGTAAACTGCTTTAACCTTCAGCAGAAACTTGCTCATAAACTGAGACATCAATTTCAAGTTTTGTGACATACATTGAATTTGATAAGGGACAGCACCATGTTTCTTTAACGCTTATTCAGGCTTTTTATTATGCATTCATGGAGTATTGTTAACAGGATGGTAAAGTTACGATTTCAAAAACCTCTCCAAAACTTGGATCATCCTCAGAATTTTCAGGTTAATCAGTTTGCGACTTTGAAGCTTTATTGTCTTCTTCCACTTTGACAGCAAAATACTGCGATTAAAACCTCTTCAACAACCATGAGGGGTCAGCTTTGACCCCCTCCCCTCCATCCTCTTCCATATACAGCTGTCCCGCTTCCTTCCTGTCCTCTCCTTCTGTCCCTCTTTACTGTGTAGCAGCCCCCCCGCACCCACCCCCAACATTCATTAAGACATACAACATACATGCACTGTACCAGTTGTGTATTAATCTAAGGTCGCGCTCTCAGCCTCCCCCCCTACCCGCCTCCCAACACACATCTCTCTCCCCCTCCTCAGCATCCTCTCCCCCCACCATCCCAATCCCAGCACTGTGTTAATCTGCTGCTGGTCTGACGGTCAGCACTTTGAGCAGCAGACAGACAGATTGGCTGTAATCCCCTGAGTGCCACAGATGGAGCGGTACTACGCAGACCTTGGGGAAGGTGAACGCGCTGTTGTGCACAACACATACAAACAAGAGAATGCATGCACATGAAGACACATGGCATACAATTAGAGAATAAAAAACAATAAACTGTACGTCTTTAGATGGACGAGCTAGAGTCCATTACAGGCACAATAAAGGAGACAGCTGGTAATCTGGTACAGCAGCCTCACGAGATGCTCCTTCACCTAATAAGCAGAACAGCACTGACAGGTTTCTGCTAAATAAAAGCTTATAGAGTGAGCTAAAAGAATGAGTTTCCTGATGGAATAGATGGTGAGTCAATTATTATCATTATAGATCAAAATCATAGCAGAACATTACAAAGATTGATGTTTTCCAGTTATTTACTTATAATAACTCCATTCTCCTTGCTGATTTAACCAGTATTTTGTCAAACCAGCTATTAATTGTGAAATTATGAATTATTTTGTGGCATAAATACAAATGGGGTACTCCTGTTTTCCCACCTGAGACCTTTTAAACTTGAGACTTAAGCAGATTTAACATATATTTTAGAATATTTTTGATTTTTGTACCTTATAGGGTGATATAGCACAATTAATGTTGCAGATTTATAGCATTAGTTACATAAACAGGCAATTTCAACATTTTTTTCACTAATAGTTGCACTAAACCTTTTCTAGACTAATACAGCACTTTTATAGTGCAGAAATATAGCAGTACTGTTTTAGCAATATATATCTATGGTCCTTCATGGGATTCACCAGAAAAAGAAATTAAATGTTAATATTAGTCAATATCATCTAGAGTTCAATAAAGCATTATTTCATTTGTACTTTTATATCATTTTTATTATATTTTAAATGGAAGGACAAACCATGGCACCTCTACCTACAATGATAAACTTCAATGAATTAAAAACATGCACATGTCAACTTAAAATGAATCAGGCATGGATGTACAGTTAATTTTTTTTTAAATTAGTATTTGTTTAGCCTGTAAAAAGCTTTGTTGTCATAATCTTTATTCTATTTGCAAGGGTTTCTATGACATATTGAGGTGAAGGCAATATACAGTAAAAAATATAAACACATTAGGTCACTTTAGTGAGCACAAGTTTTATAGGCTTTATGTTGAAAAATATATATTTTCAGAAGTGTTTCTTCTTCCTGAGTTTGTTTTTTCCCAGATAATTTTGCATTTTTTTAAATACCAGAGTTAAAAAAAAAGAAAAAATACCCCAAAACTCTATCTTGTTCTGTTTGACCAAGTAGAATTTCTTAACATTACAACAGTAATGTCTTAAGAGGCTATATTTTACTTTTACTAGAGTTAGAATATGTTAAAGTGCTTCTTTTTTATCACATTTTTGTGTACTATACCCACCTCTGAAGAATTGTAATAACTGAACTTGGGTATTCTAAAAAAAATCATTAGCATAATTTAGCAAATTTTTTAGCTTTTGTTTTTTTCATATTGAAAACGGACAAAAATAGGAAGGATTTGTGATTAAAGCATGAAATTATGGTGCTTTTAATCCATCAATTTGTTTTAATCTGTTGTAGCAAAGTTGTAGTAGTTATAAACCTCTGAAGAAACGCTAACTAGGCTAGCTTTAGCTTTAGCATTAGCGCTGTGGCTTAACTGGTTTAACCTGAGGACAAACTTTAAAGACAGAAACTTTTTAAGCCACAATGTTTTCCGAACCAACTTGGTATCAAATGAAATAAAGAAGTTAAATTTGTAAAAATTCCACCATTGTTTAACATCACATATATTCGTAGGTTTTAAAGGCCACCATTTACTGTCATGTTTTATACTATAGGCCTACTGGACAATTGACTGATGCACAAACGTTAGCATCCAAGGCAGTAGAGATAAAAAAAAAAAAAAAAAAGTAAAATACATGTCTGACGTATACAACTTGTTTTTTTATTTTAATATGACAAAATAAAATTTTAGACTGATAGAAAAGGTAGTGGACTGGCAGGTTAATAAACTGTGTTTAGAGGTGAGACTGTCTTGATTCAAACTGGCCAAGACTAACTAGCTAGATTTAAACAGTTACTTTAGTGAGTTTTTCACAAAAAAATTATTACAAAGTGTAGTTTTTATTTTTACTTGATTAATACTTTTATAGCTAAACTATCAGTACTCGCATGTGCGGTTTTAGACAGGGGCCAACAGGGGCCAGTGCCCCTGTAGATCATGCCCTGTTATGGCCCCTGTACTGAATACATAATACTCAAAGAAATTCTAATGATGATATGCGCTGGAACAGACATGGTTACTAATGGTCCTTTGGATCTTTTTACATTTTATTTATTTATTTTACAAATTCTGTTTTTCTAATTATTTAAAAACAATAAGGTGACAGCCTCAGTGGTATTGAGGTAGGATCCCAGTTTTCATCTGCTAAATGTTTTTTTCAAAACAAATTTTAGAAAATACTCAAATTTTTAAAGCTGAATTTATCAGTTTTTCTTGAGTTCTAATTCAGATTTTATAGAAAATGGTTATTTTAACTTTAAATTAAGTCAAAAATATGTAACATTCCTAAATTCTGGATGTATATTGACCTAATAAGACAAAGAATTTAAATTAAACCTAATTGAATAAAAAGTTCAATTCACGCAGCTATATTAATATATTTCAATCCCTGTTTTTTATATCATGCTTTTCTGTGCCCCCATGAAAACACTCTGGCCCCCTCTTGGCCCCTACATTTGGTCTAGAACCGCCACTGGTTACTTGAGTGAAACATTTGGCTACTCTACAGCACATAGCTTCAACTTCAATGTCTAAAGAAGCATTTTTTTTTAAACTGAAGCATTTTTTCTACTGAGCATCTATAAAATTTGTAGATATACATTAAATTATACAGTAAAACGTATATACTGTCGGTAGTGTACCCTGTTATATATAGAGGGACTTCTGAAAGATTGGTTTTTAATCAAATAATGACAAGTTTTGATTTGGAGAGGTGTTTATGATTATTTTTCTATGATTTTATCTATTTGTATTAACTCTTCTATTTAAAGCCTTTAAAAACAAAACACTTTGCTCATAACCTTTTGTGTCTAATTGCATCATGTTATACCAGATACTAGAATTTATTCTTTATATAAGTAGTTGTTTTTAGTCATATGAGCAATTGTTGGAAAGCTACCATTTTACTGTTACTTAAGCAAAAATAGGTTAAATAGTGCTTGTACTGGAGTTAAAGGTTTGGGTACTTCACCCACATTCTGCCCGGACCTCAGGTTGGTCTCTACCAATGAGGTGCAGGTAGGAGAAAAACAAAAGGATTAAAGGTTGATGTTTGTTTTTTACTATGTGTTCCATTGAAATGAGTGTATCCTAGACCATGTGGAAATGGATGCCCATGTGTGCCAGTCTCATTGGGCTTTTGTTTGTGCACAACATGAGAAACTTGGTCATTTCAGTCGCTACAACAAGGTAAATTTTATCAATGTTTGCCATTTCATGTTTTATATATGTAAAAAAAAAAACATTGACATTTTTTACTCTGATATCTGTAATTCTTTATCAGTCCAACAAATTATCCACATTTACAAATTGCACTCTTGTCAGCATGATGGTTCTCAACTAATGAGGTTGATAATGTATAAATTGGGTTTTACTGCCATCTAGTGGTAGAACTGCAGCAAACAGGTCAGTGAATACAAATTTGTGAAATACATGTTTTGCTCAAATATATCTAGCTTTACAGATAGCCATGTATAAAATTCTGTTTCCACTTACATCCATGATAACTTTACTAGAAATTGAACTCCTGTTTCTTATGACTTCCTGGTCAACTCCATCGTGCAAAGCACTGGATCATCTGTCATGTTCTGGGTTCACTGCTGTTCACATTAGAAACGCGGCGCAATAAGACCAACGGAAGTGAAGAATTGTTCTAACTTTGGACAATCTGGAACTAAATGTTGTTCGTTTTGAATATTAAATATCTATTTTAACATTAGATATCAGAAAAAGAGGCTTTTGACACAGAAGAGTGTGTGTAACATCCATTTATTACCACCTTGTATGACAAATTTGGAAATTACAAACATTGTTTTTAGTCAAACATAATTTTTAACATTTCAAAAAAAGAGAAAAATAACAAAATAAGAGGAAGAATAGAGCTGAACAGAAGAAAATAAAAAAGACAAAGCTTAATGAGTGACCTGAGAAACATGATCGACTGATCCAAAGGGGGGGGGAAAAATCTCTAATTGTGAGTGGGGAGAGTATGTATACGGAAAAAAATTATTACCTGCCTCGTATGATTTCAGAATACATTTTCTTTCTTTTTTATTTTCTTAAAAAAACAGTCAATTTTATTCTGAGATGTTTTGGTTTTACAGAACATTAAAAACCTCAGTAAGCCTTTGCTTTACAAAGGAGCTTTTTTTTAAGCTGCTATAAAATATATCTGACCCCATTTTGTTTTGGCTTTAAATAAACCAATTTTCGTTTTCACTTTGTTAGGCAATGAACACCTATAGATAAGGGAACAAGTCGGAAAGATCCTTTTCAGTGAAAAACCCCCCCAATGAAACTACATCCTCATTCTGAATGTCATTTTGACCCCTCCCCCAGTTACAAATAATCTGAGTAAAAGAAAAAAGAAATCAAAACATTTTTTTTTTTAAAAGAAAGTCTTAACATGGGAGATAATATCAGTGATCACTATGATAAGCAAAAAAGGACTGTATGCAACCATCTGAGGTGACGCAGCCCAAACTCAGCCAACACCCCCTCCGTGTTTCTGCCTGTGTCTGAGGAGAGCTGGAAGAAAACGTTTCGCAGAGGAAGAGGAAAGGGCGAGTTCTTCTAGCACCCTGCTGTGGAGAAGAGACCCCCCCCAAGCAGAAAAAGACCAATCCTCTCCACCTGTTCGGCCCTTCCTAAGTTGCATCATCCCAATCCGTGGCTGTCCTTATTTTAGCCACAAACTGTTTGCTCTTTCACAATTATAAGCAGTAAAACAAGGAGATATGTGCAGGTGGAGGTCGCGTCATCACAGGGTTGGAACATGCACAAAAATAGAGTACCCTAGATGTCTGCTTCTGAGAGCACTAAGAAAACCTAACTATACACTTTTATTATAATATAATCAGTATCCTCTACACACTACTAGCACAGGGAAAGGAGGGGAAGAGAAAGGGGTGAGGCGGCATGTGAGGGGATGGAAAGACAGAACAGTAAAGGAAGGAACGAAGGTGAGGGAGGAGAGAAGGAGTTTAGGCACGCTCTCCGCGGATACGGCGTGCCAGCTGGATGTCTTTGGGCATGATGGTGACACGTTTGGCGTGGATGGCGCACAGGTTGGTGTCCTCGAACAGACCCACCAGGTAAGCCTCGCTGGCCTCCTGCAGGGCGAAACATCATCAAACATCTTTTTCGTTACCCTGCAAGGTTTATGATTCTGTTGTCCAATATCTAAACCCAAGGAGACGTTTTGTGATTCAGCTCACCTGACTCTAAATTAATGATTTATTACTGAAGGAAATTGTGACTAAACAAGGGAAGAATCTAGGTAATAACTCTGCTATTGCAATAGGGGCCCATTTAAAGAGAAATCAGACATTAATTTATGGAGGGAGGGAGTTTGAATCCCTTGACAAGGGTATTTTAAAACTTTATTATTCCTCACATGAAGCCATTCATCATGTCTTCCTAATAGATCATTTGTGTTTTCTGTTTGCATGTTAAAATATTATAGATTACATATGACATAATATAGATTGATAAGCTTAGTCTTCCTTAAATCTTTAAATCCAGGTAAATATATAAGTTTCACTTCTTAATACTCCTTTTCATACAAATGAAGTTGTACTTATAATGTATTTACATATATATCATTTATGTTGCATACATATGTGTCAAATTTTTAATTTTATTTTGGGTTGTCTTAAATTAAATAATTCATTCATAAATGGCATTCAGTCCTGTTGAACTCGTTTTCTAACATGAAAGTCTCTTTAATCCAGACTGTGCAATACCAACCTGCAGAGCTCCAATGGCCGCACTCTGGAAACGCAGGTCGGTCTTGAAGTCCTGGGCGATTTCTCTCACCAGACGCTGGAAGGGCAGCTTACGGATCAGCAGCTCGGTGGACTTCTGATAACGACGGATCTCACGCAGAGCCACAGTTCCAGGCCTTCATGTAACATACATACAAAAATTAATTCAGGCAAATTATTTCACCAATAGCGATCTAGTCATATAGAAAAAAAAGTTGTACTATTATGAATCTTGCAGATGATTTTACCTGTAGCGATGGGGCTTCTTGACTCCACCGGTGGAAGGGGCGCTCTTACGAGCTGCCTTTGTGGCCAGCTGCTTACGTGGGGCTTTGCCTCCAGTGGACTTACGGGCAGTCTGCTTGGTACGGGCCATGGCTGTTACAGATCACCTGGATAGGATGGAAGGAAAAGGGGGACATTTTATACAAATCTGACCTTTTCTTGACATAGCAGGTTTTAATTATTAAATTTTTTATTGTTATACAGCTAAATAAAAATTCTCAAAGAAGATTTTAATAGATTTTTGTAATAAAAAGCCCAACTGCAATTGATCACAAACTTTATCCATAGGCCTAAAATAAAAACGAAAGAATAAAGACTAAAAAAGATTCAGAAAAGATATTGTAATTTTACCAAACCGGGTGTGATTTCCGTCTTATTTTTATCAATCCTGTTTAAACTAAACCAAGGAAATAATTATCTTAAAAAAAAAAAAAGAAAAACTATAACCGAAATACTATAAGAAAATAAAAAAGATCAAAATTTTATCATCCTTTTCTGTTTATATTATTCTTCAAAGATTTGCATATATTTAATATTTAGTATAACCAGAAATGCTGATCAAAATAACTATATGTTATTCACATGTTTTAAAAGTGAAAACATAAATAAGTTCTTACCTTTCTTTAAGTAAACAAACAAGGTTTTCCTGATGATAATCAACATAATAAACGTCATAGATAAAAATTGGATTCTATTGGTTAGAATATTAGAATAAAAAACAAAGTAGGAGCCAATCAGTGAATAAAATCCTAAAAGTAGGTGGGCTCTACAGCTTCCTGCTACTGTTACTAGCTCCACCCACCACGCTCTGATGATGGCGGCGGTTTGATGCGCAAACGGCATAAAGACCGAAGGCACAGAAGCGAGCGAGTAGCACAAAAACAACTTCAATTTTCCCGACAACCGCTACTTCAACGTATTATCCGTTAGGCTGACGAGATAGAAGACATTATAAAGAAGTCATTAATATGTATAGGTGAACTGAATGGTCCGTAACAGAAGCGTAGAACCGAGCTGAACCGGCGCATAATTTGAAAGTAGATTCCCCCCCACCTCAGAGCAGCTGCAGAGAAAGACTGCATTTCACCGTGGCTGACTGTTATTTCACTCACGACGAAACGAAAGCTATTTCACCGCAACAAAGCGGCAAATAAAAAGAAAAGCAACTTAAAAAAAATATGGTTTATTTTACATGTGTTCAAGACACGTTTTTACCGACTTACCTGGGGTGAAAGTGAGTGTAAGTCGTCAGTAATGTTTCGCTTGACTGTTTTGTTCTTCGTATCCACAATGGGAAGCCGCGTCCAGCGGGAAAATGGCCGCTGCGTCACTGCTCATACATCACCGCGATCATCACCGTTTGACACAGCGGGGCCACTCCGGGGTCACCTGTCCCTGTCTGGGCTCTTTTATGGCCCTAATATAAAGCGGGACTTTGGATTTTGATCAGTTAAAGTGGATTTACAGGAGTGTTGCTGCTCTTTGGAGCCATTAAGCATTTTTTTTACCGATAAAAATAAGCGTAATAAACTAAAACTGCGCAGGATGGTTTTAGCGCCGCGCAGCAGATTATTTATAACAAAGAGAAACATGGAGGAAATATTCAGCACTTCTAACTTAGGGGGCGTTTTGTAAACAAAAGTAACTTGTTGTAACTTTTTGTGCAGATGTTTATATTGTTCTTATTTTTTCAAATAATCAAATGATAAAGGATTTTTTTTTTTACACTGAAATATTAAAAATGTCTTAAATAATGTCAATGGAATGCGGATATTTTACTCTTAAAATAAGATATGCACTTGAAATAAGACGGTCCAATTGTGTTTTCTTATTTTTAAGTGTAAATATTCTTCTTCCATTGGCAAAATGTCTTTTACATCCTCAATCCAAGAACAAATGCACTTATTTTAAGAAAAAAAAACACTCTCCAGTGTAAATTTCAGTGCTGGAGGAAAATAAGTTTTTTGATATCCCTAGCAGACTGAAAGTATGTCTGGTTCTATTGCTCAATCAGCAATGCAGCAGCATACTTAAAAGAAAAAAAAGTCAAGGAATAAAAACTAAAACTGTGGCTTGTTTTTAAGGTTGCAGGTTTGCAGATGCTCCTTTAACGGGTTGAAGTTGATAATTATCCAACCAATATTAGCTAAATGTAACTTTTAATTAAATATTCTCCACCTCAAGCATTTTCTAAACACTTCATTTAGCAAGTGTAGTATCAAAATAACATACCGTATATCAGAAAGTTGGAATTCTGCTTTTATCTTTCAATTAAAACAATTATGCTATACTTTTGTTTTACGATTTACTCAACTATACTGTCTTCAATCCCAAGATATTCAGACGTTACTCTATCAACCACAAGAAACTCTTTATTATGCTTGAATGTGAAGTCCAGAGTACAAATATTTTGTTCATAAAAATGACCGAATACATAAATCAAAAACACAAGTAGAAAAAAAATAGGTTATTGTATCAACCTGAGAGAGGAACAAAAACATTACCCAGACATTTTTTTTTTTTATTAACATGGCTGAAAATCAAAACATCATCAACACAGGTCTGCTACATCTATGCCGCTGTAGTCTGTCAAACCATGCAGTGTCATCACAACATAATGACGTTTCTAAATGACGACCCGAATTAAACTTTTCTATTTTGATACACTGAACAGTAACAGTAGAAATACACCATTATTGTAAAAAAAAAAAAAAAGAATCAATACTAATACAACTAATTTCTATTTAAAAGAGGAAAAAAAAGGAGAAATGTAGGCATCCACTCTTGAACGAAATTGTCCACCTTAATGCTAATTCCTGTTCCAACTTTAGATTAAGCACTAATCCTGTCCCCAAAATACCTTATTTGCTGAGGTGATAAGGTATTCCTGCGAATTTCTTACTGGAACTTAAAATTTAAACGAGATTTTTTTGAACGTTTGAATCATAGTTGATGATACTGCTATGGAAAACCTGCTACCAGTAGCCCCACAGAAGACATAATCACACAATTACGGTTATCACAATCATATGATATAGATATTTATATATAGAACCTCAAACCAAACTACTAAGTATAGAAGAAGGAAAATGAGAGGACAGCATATTATAGGCCGGGAAATGTTTTAGGCACGCTCGCCGCGGATACGGCGTGCCAACTGGATGTCTTTGGGCATGATGGTGACACGCTTGGCGTGGATGGCGCACAGGTTGGTGTCCTCGAACAGACCCACCAGGTAAGCCTCGCTGGCCTCCTGCAAATCACAATATCTATTTTAGAATCTGCTTGAAGGATAACAAAAAAAGTTTTACGGTAAGAAATTTCCACAGTAGGCACCGCTAACCTGCAGAGCTCCGATGGCCGCGCTCTGGAAACGCAGGTCGGTCTTGAAGTCCTGGGCGATTTCTCTCACCAGACGCTGGAAGGGCAGCTTACGGATCAGCAGCTCGGTGGACTTCTGATAACGACGGATCTCACGCAGAGCCACAGTTCCAGGCCTGGAAGAAAGGGTGGCAAAGTGCACAAGCACCAAGAAAACAGTTTAACATGGGAATCGGACTAATAGCCATATGTTCCTTTAAATGGTCATGTGACATTTAAGCACATATCAGTCATAATTCCATCACCTGTTGTAGAATAGATATATAATAACAAGAATAACAACTGGTCAGAGGGACCGCCATCTACGCTAGTTTAATCTTAAACATTTGAATGTTTAATGTATATGTAATAAACTTCCTCACTTTTATAAAAGTCAAGTGAAAGTTCATTTATATGACAAAAAATGTTCTGCATAAAACAATATGGTGAAAAAGACTAATATACATCTGGAAAAATAAGACACAAAATATAAAGGTTTTGAGCTGTTACCTGTAGCGATGGGGCTTCTTGACTCCACCGGTGGAAGGGGCGCTCTTACGAGCTGCCTTTGTGGCCAGCTGCTTACGTGGGGCTTTGCCTCCAGTGGACTTACGGGCAGTCTGCTTGGTACGGGCCATGGCTGTTACAGATCACCTGGAAATATTCAACAAAAGGGCTGCAGCTGTAGGTTATTCGAGTAAGGAAGTAATCAGTTTATCTCAGAAGAAATGCAATTGGTAAATTCACATGCCTCAAGAAATAAGTGTTTAAAGATAAAAAATAAGTTGAATAAAAGTGAATATTTTAAATGCAAATGGGAAAAAACATGTAAAATAACCCATCCAGAAATGTCCGTTTATTTAATTTCACATTGCAAATTTTACATCCACAATGTTAATCTTGTCTTAAAGACATATTCAAGTTAACAATAAATGTATTATTGAATTACTCCATAAATGTATTGTTTCAGATCTAAAAATAAAGCTTGTTTCAGATAAGCAAGGCGATCATCTTGTGTTAAAATTGTCGGTTTTATTTTTGTTTATTTACTTTTTTTTTGTTTCTATTTGCTATTATTCCACTTCTTCATAACACAGGCTTTTAGCCGAATCGGAGTACTTTTCTATCCGCACCTGAAGGTTGTTTTTCAATACCTTCAGTATCTTATGTAATGGAAGCACGCACATACAGACAGCACAAATAACCAATCACATCAGACATTCATAAAGGCTAAACCAATTAAACTGCGAGTTTATGTCTATGAGGCGGGACCTTCTGAATCTCCCCACCTATCAGAGTTAAACGTTCGCCATCTACGTCCCACCCTTTACGCAGTGGACGTGGGTTTGTTCGTTTCTTCATAGTGGGCTCACCGGTTGTTCAAATGCCTTGCCTATTTAACGCAGAATGAGCTATTTTGGAGGAAAACCGGCTCAGACCGCCCACACCGGCAGCCCGATGCTCAGAAACAAGCGTACACACCGATGATGGCTGGTTGCTGCCTAGAAGATTGTAAAGGGGAAGGGGGAAAAAAATCGTCGCGAACGAATAAAACAGACGATGAAAACGATCGAAGAACGAGAAAACTTCAACATATAAGTGGGAAATAATTTTAGAAGACGAAACTAGATATGTCAAGGGATCAGCTGGGGGACAATATTTTGTCAGATGGCCCCTCACTTTAGGCGCATTTTCGTGTCGAATTCAAGCCTGATCACAGGAGCTGCTCAGGGAGTCGGGGACCTGAGCAGGCACATAATAGCTCAAAACCACGGCTTTTATTCACTCAAAATAGACGACAAAATCTGTTCGAGAGCAAATTCACACGATATTAAATGTGACAGTGGGCTTTTATTCAAACAGTGGCGCTTACCTTGGGAAAAGCAGTGAAAGATTTCGGCTTCGAATTCGAATGTATTCTTCAGTCTCTAAAGCGTTGTTCTCGCAATAAAATGCGGGGAGGGAAAAAAAGAAAATGAACATAGGAAAGCAAGAAGGGACACATTTCCCATCATGCATTTGGCACCAACATGTTATACTCACACTGCAACATGGAACACAATCACAGGCAGGGAATTTGGTGCAACAGGTGTTTTACTAATCATTATTATCGATTCATTTATATTTTTAAGAACTTTGAAGCTTAACTTTTTTGATAGTTTAAAATCCCAACATATTAAAAATGAGAAGGAAAGCAATCAACTGAGCAAATACCTTATTATTTAAGTGAATATGAAATGCTTGTTTTTTTATTATTTAATACATTTTTAATTGTTTTTCTTTTTATGAAATGAAAACATATTTTTAAGCTTTTGTAAAAATCCTCTAAATTGTTAACATTTTAAAATAAATACTATAAATTACCATGATATAATTAAAAACGATTTTTAAAAAAATAAATAATGATGTATTCAAATATATGTTTTTTCAGATAAATTAATAAAAAAAAGAAATCGAAATTTACACCTTTCCGCCTGCAGATGGCGCTACCGATATCACTGTGACGTTAAAATCAGATAAGACGTCAGGCATTTTTTGTTTTTTCCTCCTGTTCAACATGGCGGCTCGCAGGAGAGTTAAGCGCGTGGCTGCCTCCCAGCCTGGATTTTTAACTTTAAAGTCCTCATTAGACCCGTCAGGCTTGGCAATCAGTCGGAGGAAACGCGTGAACAAGAATAAAAAGAAGAACTGGAATAAATACAGCGACATTAATGACGTGGAGGATTTTCTAGGAGACATCAGGCTCCAAGAGAGGACCACCGGGTGAGGAAGGAAGCTCGAGGTTTTAACTACGCCAAAGTCTCATTATCTTTACTTCTTGTGATTATTCATGTTTTCTGTTTTTTATTTAAATTTTTAGGAGTTCCGTGATCATGCGAAGCATTATATTGCTCTTATTTTAAAAGCCAGTTTAACAAAAAACAAACATATATTTTTTTAATCCCCATTCCAAAATATTGAGCTTTTCTCACGTTTCCCTCATAGATGAACATGTCTGGATGTGAATGTTCTACACTAAAGAGCCTGAAATCCATTTTTCATGCAGAGATTTCTCCGTCATAGCGTTTCTGGCCGGTGTTGCACCTCATTCTGTGACCCATCATACATTGTGAAACAAGCGCGTGCTGTTGAAGAGTCTCCTCTCTGGTCTTCTATCTATTAACCCTAAAGTCACAGGATTCATACCTGAACATAAGTAGCAATACTAATACCTAAACCTAAATAAATCTATGGTAAAACGCATGTAGCGCCCCCTTGGCTCACAATATGTGATGGGTTACAGAATGTAGTGTACCACCTTTTCTTTCTTAATTTAAAAGTATATGAATAGTAAGATACTTAAACATATTTTGTTGTTGGTGTATTTAAACCTGTGAAATCTGTTCCATTTTTTGCATATTAACAAGTATTAAAATTAAAATGTATGTATATATATTTTTTTATAAAACTGTATCTTGTTATTGTGACATAACTCACTGCTTTTGGTCTAAGACCCCACTGAAAAAGGATTTTATTTTTGTAAATCCGTTACTTTTTTAATTAATCAGTAGGGATTAAGGCTGGGTATTTTCGTCAAAGTCCTGAATCGATTCAATTTTGATTCATACAGTTCTAAATCGATTAATTTCGATTCAATCTGTTTTTACAAAGATGAAAGTGGTTCAACTGTGTTTCAAAATACTCCTGTATTTTATTTTTTCCTGTCATATTAAACACAAAGTGTGAACTTGTAAATCAGATAGTTTAAACTTGAGATGTGAACAAAACTGTCTCATAAGTGTAAACTTGTTTGTGAAAAGTGAAGCCTCTCAAGATCAATCAGACGTGACACAGCGAAGACGCGCTGCATTATCTCCACTGCACAAACCATATTAGCAGCTTTTTTTTTTTTTACAATTACAGTTTGCTGCTCAGCCCCCAGTTGTTAATATCTTCAGTCAATCTATTGGCTATATTTGCAGCTTTCTGGCTTGAACTAATCTTGTGTTCTGTAGGATGAGATGCGAGGTGCCAATCATTATCAATATAGTGGGAAGTCACCTTAATGTCACACATCCAGCACATTATCTTTAGCTATTTTAAATCCAAAATGGTTCCAGACTTCAGTTGGGACAGCCTGCTGAGCGGTGTGTTACTCCGGTCGCATTCGCACACACCTGCTCATTTGAATGTGAACATCACATGCGTCACTATAAAACTAATCGATCTCATTCCCTACACATCGATCTTGCAAAAATGTAAAGGAATCTATCCTAAATTGATTTTTTTTTTTTTTTATACCCAGCCCTAGTAGGGATCTCATGATACTTCTTTTCCGATATGTAACCCAGCTTTGAGTATTGACCTGATTAATCAACAACAATCATGCATCCCTTCTTTTTTTTTTACTTATTTTGTGGCAGGGATTAATAAGCCTTTATCAAGTGATATTAAACAAATGGAGAACAATACTTAACATCAGTTACAAGAACTTTTAAAATGTTTCTTATTCTCCAAAGGTTGAAATTAACTTAAAAAGAATCAGCAGGCAAATATGATCTGATACTCAGTTTTATCTGATAGTGGATGGATTTTCCATATTAATATTTAATTGGGACATCTCTATTAAATAGGTGGATGGGGAAAAATGGCAATTTGAAACATTTTAAAGTACTAGTTGGAGTGGTAAGTGTCTCTAAAATGAAACTGGCTTATTAAAATTGTAACTTCAAGATTGTTTCTAGAAATTCAGATTTTTTACAATTTAAAATCAATATTTTTCAGCTTGTTGCCCTCTAATGTATTATGTGATGGTGTGAAAGCAAAAGTTAAATAGAAGTTCAAACCGGCTGTAATAAAAATCTCTGTCTGATTCAGGGGTCTGCTGTCTGAGAAGACGGATGAGAGCTTATTTTATGTTGATCTTGGGCAGCCGGAGAAACCAGAACCGGAAGGTGATTCATCTTACTACTTACATTGGTTTTATCACTAATGCTATTGTATTAACTGACTTATTTCTGGGATTGAATTAAGTGTGAAATGTCCATTTTGTTTGTTTTTTCTAGCTGAAAGTGTGCAGCCTGATGATGGAAAGAAGAGGAAAGGGAAAACCTCACGTCCTCTAAGAATAGACCTCATCCTTCAACGGGATTCTCTGGTTCCTCCTCCTAAAGAGTCAGTATCCATCACCTTAAAACGCACATTTTTTTCATTTTATGTTGATAAACTAATGCTGCCTGTAAGGTTAGAAAACAAAGATGAAAAAGACAAAACAAGGCAGCAAATTTTTGATCTGCTGTAAATGTAATTTGTTTATTAAAAAACTTGCTTCAGTTGCCATGAGAGCATATTTTTAAACACAAATCTGGTCGTAAAATTATTGGAAACAAACACATTTTATTATGTTCAAATCCTGAAATTTTTAGATTAATCAGTGATGGGCAATTCCAGGTCCTGATGGTTGGTATCCTAAAACCAAGGATGGTTCAAAAGAGCTTCATTAAATGGCTGAGTTACCTCCTCAATCATTGAATAACTGGATTCAGGTGTGTTGAATCAAAGGCGCATCTAAAAGCTGCAGGATACCAGCCCTCAGGAACTGCAGTTACCCAGGATCAGGGATAAGGTGATGCTGCTGAGCTTTAATCCATCAATGCTGTGTTCAAACCATATGTGTTTTTAATTGTCATAAAGCAGTCAAACTTGGCTGGTTGTGCATTTTGAAGTCAGTTGGTTGTTAAGCTGATCTGTTATTTTATTTGCTACCTATAAAGTTGCTTTGCTTTATTTGCTGTAATGAGTTTTGGGGAAGACAGTAGTTTAAAGACTTTTTCATCTGAAAACGTTCTTTGTGTTTGTCATGATATATGATGTATATCTTGTGTGAATATTCGGTTCCTGTTGGGAGCAGCAGACCCCCCTCACACCCCAGCATACCGGTGGCCCACAGAGCTGGGAGTCTCCAGTTAGGCTCTTTGAAACCAGTCAGGCAGTCCCTGCTGCTGTTCTTAGCAGCTGAAAGGGAATATTAAGCATTAAGGATTGTGGTAATAACTAAAATATGTTGCTGCCATCTGTAAGGGTCTTTGTTTTGACCAAACATCTCAGATCTTTTTTCATAAGTTTAAAGCACCTTATTTGAAAATGATGCTGGTTTGTCCAAATGTCCCTTTGCATACCTGAAGCAACTGTTTGTGGCCTGAGTCCAGTAAAGCTGACCTCCTTCCTCACAGTAGAAACTGACCGATGGATTTGGTGATTACTTTTTGTATCCTTCCACTAAACCAAAAATTGATAAATCTTTGCTTTTCGGGTCATTTGAGTTGCTATCAGGCTCTATATTTTTCCTCAGGAGGGATGCAAAGAGAATAACAACTTGCAGAAAGCAGCCTTCAATACATTTCCTCATCACTTAAAACAGCTGCCTGTTTAAATTGTCTAATATATTGCATATAATTATTAGTGGGTGCAACATTGATTATATTTAAAGCAAAATATAGAAAAAAAGTCCAAGTGTGTGTGTGTGTCCGGTGATGATCTCATCCTTGCACTTCCAGTATTTCCTCCTGGGAAATGTGAAGACAGCTGTCAGAAAGCTCAGGAGTCTGTTGTGTGAACAGGATCCTGGGATCTGAGGACTTAAAAAAAACACACCAGCCTCATTGCTCTCCATGTTTTCAGTGTTTCCACATTTACTTCAACAATAAAAAATCGACTAAACCTCCCATTTTCTCCCCCATCAGTATTCTGGCCTACCAGCAACCCAACGCCAAGAAACTCCGCCGCATCGCCCAGAAGGCCGAGCAGTTGGCAGCCAAAGGCGTGGTGCCACGGCGACAGAAGCTGCTGTTGAACCGACGGACTGCGGACAGGACAGTGAAGAAAGCAGTGGCAGAGGCCAACAACAACCCAGAGCGAGACTATTACGACATCTGGGGGCAAGAGGGTGAGTGGAGGGAGTGGGAATCTCTGTCCAGTGATGATCTCATCCTTGCGCTCCCAGTATTTCCTTCATGGGAATGTGAAGATCAGCTTGGAGCTCAGATGAGTGT